TGTATCGAACGCGGTTATCGCAAGTTCTTCGTTTTTATCAGCCAATTCCTCGTTTACCAACCGTTAAAATAAGTTTATCGCCCGACATAAATTAATACGGCGTTGCCTCACTCCATAAATTCAGCTTGAATTTCTTGGGCCAGGCGGATTCTTTAAAAAACATTCGCAGCCGCAGCAAGGCGAAAACCTCAAAAGCTTCATCTAAAATCTGCACACACTCATCGACGAATTAATAGCCAATTTAACATACGGCATTTGATGTGCTTTATGGTAGCAGGGTAGGCTCACAATCAATTTACGAAATAACTGGAACTATGTTGAAATCGATTTGACACATTAGCGTAGTTTACCCCGTCACCACATGTGGTTTGCTTTTAAACGCTCTGCCTAAAATGTTCTTAGCAAATAATTCAATAATATAGTTACGCTTCTTAAATTATTTCGACTATAACAATTTTGCATTTAATTAAACCTAAAAACACGTTCCGCTCGAACTTTTCCTAAGCTCAGAAATATCTAGTATCTATAAATATTATCAGCCGCTTCGTAAATATATAGTATGGATTCAAGGCTATTAACTGATTCTGTCGTCGCGACTTGCCAAATACTTCCCGCCGATAACAAATGACAAATTTTTGGGCACAAGTCTTATAAACAATTCGCCACACCGGCACGAGTCGCGGAAATCAAAGTCGACGGATTCGCGCACTTGGATTTGTCCCTTATATATAAAATCATCATCAAAGCTATTACTAACAAATCGTACTACTTTGTATTATTAACTATCAAAGTAGATGCCAAATGTACCTTCTGGTACATACATTGGTTTTAAATTTTGCAGATCAAAGTGAAGTCAAAATTGTCCAGGACTATGTCGTTCGGAACAAACTGAGCGCTTCCAAGAATTACTTACCCACACATGTGCATACCTTACATGTGGCTTTAACACATTACCAATCACTGTCTTATAGTTGTCGAAATTTGTCACCAAGAATCGTGTGTGACACCAGTAGAAAACATTTTGAGACAACAGATTTTGAGTTTATTAAAATTTTGTGTTTTATAAACCCTTCAGTTAGAGTTAATTCTCAGATCAGTAAAATCTTGTCAAGAAAATCCCATACAACTTCCCTCAAAGTACTAAAAATTATTTGCCCGAAGTAAAGATATTCAAAAAGTTTCGTGCTCCGCGTTGGCTACGCATCTCAACCCTATTTAACAATTCATTCAGAATTAAAAACTGTTTAAAGACAAATTTTATTTTATCATATTTATTTTCACAATAATCAGTTCGTTCACTATAAAGATATGTGGTATGTTTTAATTCTTCTAAACGTATGTGTTCGATAATATGAATGATTTGAATTCCTTCAGTTTTTGTTCGATTAAATCGTATCATGACATGCCTTTGTTTTGACGCATACCGTGATTACGAAGTCTCAGATAACCACATTCATCTCATAACAGTTAAGCAAAATAATTTGCCACAATATCTTTTGTTATTGTAACACAAAGTGTCAGATAATTATTGTTTGGCATCCGGTTTGTCACTTTACGTTACTTGAAAGTTGTTCTTATGGAAGATTTTTTTTTCTGTTTCTGTCTTCGTCCGACACACTGCGTAAATACAGTACGTCAGACGAAGATAGAAACAGATTGCTATCAGGTGTCCAAAATTCTTTGTTGTATTTCTATGTACATTTTCGTTAGCGTAAACTTTAGAGCTGACCCAACACCAAATTACAGAAGGGAAATCTGAAATTGGTTAAGATTCGCTGCGACGGTCGACGCGCGAACCGAGCTGACTCCTGCACTAACTGTGTTATGCGCTGATGATTTTTCATGGATAAACCAGTTTTCAGGTTATGACTTATTTGGAGCTTATCTGTCAATCTGTCAAAGGCATTAGTTTCTAGCTACTACGTACTCATTACCATCCGTCAATTTGTCAATGCAATGCAACATTTGTTTTTTATGTAAACAATAAATTGATGACCATGTCAACACGTTTGTTGGGCGAGTTCATGTCGTGAACTGACATTGCTAGTATTAATAGTTGCGAAATTGTTGCTATTGACTGTTTCCACTAGCGATACTAGAATAAAATTTGACAGTCATGTCGAGTTGGCAGGTGTACAGTCTAATCATAGAGTTTCTAGCGATAACCCCATTACCCAGTATAACGGGGACATTATCACCAACAAAATTTTATGAGGCACAACGCTATAACCTAACGAATTTACAATAAAACGATAGTAAATAACGACCCACCAACCTTAGTTATTAAAATGTCATTTAGTTGCATTGTCTGTTGATGTGGCTACCGGTAGACACGTGTACAACCTCACGAACGAAAACTATATTGATTTGCAATGGAGTTTGGCTATTCAGATTTGTCTATTGAATTGTGAAAAAAGAATTTACGTGATGGTCAGTATAGTCTAACAAATTCTGAGTCAGGTTACATAGTTATAATCATAGACATTTTTTTTTTGATGCGGTTAGACAGTAATAGTTGTTTGTTCCTACATCCGAATGTTTAGTTTGACAAATTACTGTGAGTTTAACACTTGAACAAACAAATTTGTCGGTCGGCTAAATAATAATATATTTTTAAACTCGCCCAAACGAATGTTGAACACTGCGTCTTATTAACATAAATCCGCAAACTTTGTGCGTCATAAATCACTACAAGATATTTACAAGACTTGGGTAGTATACATTGGGAATTACAACTGCGACAACAACAATAAAATGAACGGATATTGTTTTTTATAATTAGGTGGAAGAAAAATTATTTCAGATTTTGCAATGAATATAGTAAAATTCTTGAATGGATGTACTAATTCAAATAATTACAGTGATGTGTTCGAATAGTGAAATCGAAGTTTATTTTAATGTTTATTTTTGGACAGCTTCAAATCGTGCATTTTATTGCTTTTACGCAACATAAAGCATTGTGGGTTTTTGTTTTATCTGCTCGAACATTTATTGCACCTGATAGATTCAACTAGTAGAACTAAAAAGAGACAGCAAGGACCTAGCCATTATAAGAAGACATTTGCTGGGACGAGAGACAGTGCCAAGACTGCCAAGTCTATTTCTGTCGCCCTATTTAACATTGTTTGCGCGTTTTGACTAACACATTATTTTTAACTGAACGGAGATTTAAATTTTACCAGAATAAAAGCCGCACTATCACTGCTTCCTATCTATCCGATACTCCTTTGCATTATTGATGATGTACTTCGCTGCATGTGGACGGAATTACGGCCATTTTAGATTTTTTGTTGACAAGAACGCGTCTACTTAGATAGTCAATATGTGGGGTCGTACAGTAATTTAACAAATGACCAGTCCAGCCAATATTGGCCCAACACTCTAAATCCCTTTATGCCATTTGCATGACAGAAAATTGATTTTTCTGGAAAAAGTGCTGTGACAGATACGGATTACTGCGGAAATAATGGAATATTGAAATCTAGGTTTACTGGACACGACGCGACTAATATCGACACTAAATATGCTTCTAACGCGACCGCGGTAGTTTTTAAATCGATGAGCAAGAAGTCATCATGCTTCTGTGCGGTGATAGTAATGCCTAGAATACACCCACTTACCAAAACTGGAACGGCCAGAAAGAATTAAGACCCATAAGACGCTAAGAACTCGATTTTGGAAGAACGGGTAAGGAGTACGTTCAAACGTGCCTGACAGTATGTATTCTAATTGTTAGAATTACATTTCTAATGAAGCGATTCGGTATTTTCGTATGGCATCTCGTCCAAAATTAACTTTGCATGTCTTTATAAGTATAGTTTGTCTAGGGGATTAAAACTTAATCTCTAACAACATCCTATTTTCAGTGCTAATAGACTATAGATCAATCGCGATTTTGTATTAACTTACTGAAAATAAAACAGAAGCGTAGGTAAATTTTATCGTCATGGTACCTTCCAAACTGTCTCTTATGGTCGTTTCTCGAATCTTATTTTGTCATTCAATTACATTTTAAAACCTAGTAGCTTGGGGAGAACCGTCAAAGGAGAACTTCACCCTGGACACCATGCAACCTCAGGGGCACAATTCGTCATATAATTGAAGATTTTCTTATGAGATTTCTGACTCCGTTGATATTAGACAACGAAGGTTCCCTTCTTCAAGTCACTTCTTTGAAACAGCAACGGCATTTGTCCTTAGTTCTTCGTAAAAATTACGGTTTCCAGATCAATTGGTGTTATACACGTTTGTAGACTTTACATTTCAAAGTATGTCCCCTGATTGTATAATTTAAGTCATCTGACTTTTCGTCAAAACAGCATTAATCAAACCAAAGATTTTCTCGGTGTCCCATTTCATATCACTCAGTTTATGCTAATACAAAATATTGACAAAATTATTTGTCAGAGATGTTGTCTGTTTTGACACTCATACTTTATTACAGATTAACTGATGATACACAGAAGACCGCTTATCGTTCAAACCCTTACGACCACGGCATGAACACAACATATTAGTTTGCTTTTTTCTAAAATGAAAGCATCCGTAATAGTTGACGCATTATAACACAATGTATTATCAATTATTTTTGGTGTTGCTGTAAGCTACGCAAGACAAAAGCTGTTCTATTTTCTGACGCTTACATAACATCTGTATATCAATGCACGACACACTTCTGTTTTGCGTAGCCTGCGCCAATCATAGATTAATTGATTATACATAAAGTCACTTTTGCAAGGGATGGGCGATTTTGAGCATCGTGTCTAAAGATCACGTCTCGCCGACTGGAGCTTTTCTTTCTGTACTAAAAGTATGATTAAGTTGGTGTCTTTTGAGTCGTGATTAGTTGCTATAATCCTTAGAAGGTCGCCCTGTAACGTGTTTTTCTAGTTGGTCATTTTAGTGCATCAGAGGTGTTTTTTTTGGTATTTATTCTCTGGTGTTGCTTGCTGTGTTCTCTTTGTTCCTGTAAACTTAGCACTAAATGAGTATGTTTCCAGAATGCCACCTGGTTACGTGTACCAGTCACCCTACCTGACTGCCGCTGCTCCTGGAAGTTTAGTTCCACTTCCAGCGACCCAGCTAACCCATGCTGCTGCCGTAGCTGCAGCCACATCGCAGTTTTATGAATATCAAAATGCCGCCGCCGTCGCTGCTGCCGCCGCCGCCCCCTATACGGGCCAGTATACGAATGGATTTGACGCCTATACTCCGTATACGGGAGCCGCAGGTTGGTTTATTTTTTAATTTTTCAGATTGGAATACTGTACGTATGGTTTTTTAGGGGCAGCAGGATATTTACCTTACACTTATACACTCCCTCAAACACCTGGCCTCCCGGCAGCGACAGCAGGAGCTTTTCCTGCAATACCTTACCAAACGGCCGCTCAAGCACAAACTTTGCAGGAAGCAAGGTTACAATAATCATGTTGCTATAATTATACGAGCACATCCGTGTGTAAGTTTTATTTTTCTGTAAAAATAGCAATTTATTACAACTTACGCCATCTATTGACAATACTATAAGTAACGTAAAGAGGAATACTGCAACTGTGTTACAGACGTGCCACAGTGTTACAATTTCAAAAACAGTCACATATTCATGGAAATTGTAGATTTAATACAGTTAGACTTTGGTTGTTTAAGACAATTTTTTTCAAATTATTTTTAGTAATCATAAATTCCACTTAGTTACCATTATGAGTTAAGTAATAATGCTCAATGAATATAACAGACTTCGATTGCTCCTACTTTTGCAGAAAGTTTTTGTTATCACTGCAAAAGAAAGTGCAATAACTTAAAATAAGAAGTAGATAGCAAATTAAATTATATAGTAGTCTAGTCCTTTACATGTATCCTATTATACTTTAGTTGTAATTTAGAATATAATTTTAGAAGTAGTTGTAGTTAAATAAAGATGTGCATTTCAGAAACTATCACAGAACTTTTATAAATAAATTAAATTAAAATTGGTGCTGGTGGCGTTCAAACTTTTTGATCAGATTCAAAGACACAGTTGATTTCATCAAATATTTTGAGCCACCAACCCTGTACCTGTTATACCTATCTGTGTATCGTAAATGTGCTCTTCACCGTCAAAAAGTTAATGTTGTAGAATTTTAGAATGAAAATTGATGTCATCCACAAAATTAAAAGAAAAGCACGTCGTACTTAAAAAGAATAAGTGAAAAGGAATATATTTTGTGATACAAAATTTCTGAGTCACATTCTCTTCTAGCTCGATTTGTAATATATAATGTAAGTGTACAGATGCACAAGAGATATTCTGTATAGATTACTTACCCAAAAATTGAATCTCTATTTTTCTTCCAAAGCACAGTAGATTGTTGTGTGGAAGTTACATATATACATTTTCACTCATTACAAATACCCATTTTAGTAGTTTATACTTTTATTAAAAATTTCTTTCTTTGCGTTGTGTTGAAATAGTATTCTGGTCAATAGCAATTAAGTTATTTAGTCACAATTCAAAAAAATGCAAAGAAAGAGACTTGTAATATTTACAGTGTTCCTTAAAGGGTATTGGCAGGCAGTTAAAATTTTACCAACATTTAGTGCCTTCATCGAGTTGTTTGTGATAGAAACTGTATTCTCTAGTCAATTCTTGTCAATACGTTCCGTCCAGCTGACTAGTGCCCATAAAAACTGCCGCGCCTTTAATTATTGAGTTCGTGAAGATGTATATACTTAAAAGCATGCAATACTACTAGTAAGGCCCCATCAAAATACTTTGTTTTTTAGAACATTTTGTCCTAATTTTAAAAGTATATTTAAAAAAAGCAAATCTTTCAAGGATTCTACCCTGTTTTTATCAAACGTGAATAAGATTTCGTCCAAAAAAATTCACCACTTAAAATTCGCCTTTGGTGCATGAGACTGTGCTGAAATTCACTTCGTTCAGTGAGATTTACGAATCCCTTGAAAACACGCCTTTTTGCCCTGTTTTTTGTTGGGCCACTTCAGCACAAAAAGTTCTCATAAGCGAAGTGAATTCACAGTCCTGTTTTAGTGACATATTTGTAATTCATTACGTACCAACTCATCAATTAGGTTTTTCTTTTCGATTTAGAAAGGAGTTGTTTGCTAATACAGCAGTCATGGACGTAAAAAATCATTAAATGGAAGTAGAATTATTAAAAAATCATATGAAAATGTATAGCATACCTTAGGTGAATCACAGACGATTAATTAGTTTTATTATTTGTAATGTAATTGTAATTTGTAATTTCTAATAACTAGTACACAGTAATTGCACATTACTGTGTACTAGTTGTGTTTTATTTTTGTTATATGTAATTATAAGATATTTATATTCTGTATATTTTTTATCCAAACTTGGACCTTGGGTCTGCTGGATTTTAATAAATATTATTATTATTATTAGTTATTATTATTATTATTTGATCGATAATTAAGTCAAATTTATCAGATTTAACTAATGTATTCGAAATCATCAAATTCATAATACATTTTATCTTTAAAAAACATATAAATTTCTATATCTGAATACTCTGCTTATATTTGGAGGTATTCCGGCAAATCATTCTGAAATAAGGCCACTTTTCTTCGACCTAAACAAACACTCATCAAACTCAATGTAAAGACTTTATCATAAAATACATGTTTTTCCAGAATAAGTTCTAAATATTGCATCTTTTTTTTTCCTTTTGGTATTCCTAAAATTTCAATAGATTGATCATTATATCCATATTTAAGAATAAAACTTGGAAAATCGATTAAATAATATAAATTTTTAACAACAATTTAAACATATATATTTTTTTTGACACCCTGTATTATGATTATGTTGAAACTAAATTTGAAACAGACTGCCATTGAGTGAGTGAGTGAGCTGGCGGACGGACGTACAGTGAACTGTGTTCCTGGTTGATTCTTTACTAATAATTATTATTGCAAACAAAACTTCTCACACGTGAGTTATGGTATGGTTGCAGTACTTATAATTTAGTTTTGTTTGCATCTAGCATTTTTTACCCGTTGCCTAATCTAGCCGCTCGGTATTTCTTTTATACCGTAGCGGCTACTTATCTATCTGTTGATAAGTTTTTTACAACTTAGCAAAATATGCGACATACACATGAAAAACTTCGACAAAACTCAAAAATGCTTTGCTTATGGTAATAAAGATTACACAAAATGTTAAAATCCTGTGTAAGTACGGAAATTTTCGTTACATTTGTAATGAATGTCATATTTTAGAAAGAAGCTCCAAAATTCATGTCTTAAAAGAACCTGCTGTAAAGTGTGTATATAGACAAGGACATTCCAGAGGAAGAAGTGGCAGACTATACACTGTGGGTGAGAATAAATCTCTATTTAGTAACCAAGAATCTTAATTATAATGCTCACGATTCAGAAAATTCGGGTAATTCTCAAGGATTTCTTCGATATGGCGATCCATCTTTCCAGGAAGCAAATGCGTATCCGACAATCTATCAATATAATATCTTTAGTCTGTGATGACAATGTGACCTCTGGTGTCCAAGTAGACAATTAAGTTTGGAACTAATTTGGCGTCAAATTTAAATTTTCTTAAAAAATCGTTACACGAGTTTGTATAATATCGCTTCTACCTTAAAAACAGGGTAGAATTCTATTATTTTAACTGTTGTGCTGAACAGATCCATATAGTACAAATTTAAAAACAAGACGAAATTCAGCATGAATTTTAAGTGTTTTTCAAAAGTGATTTTTTTTGGCCGAAATCGAATTCACCTTGGAAGAAAACAGGGCTTTGAATTCGCTTCGATTATGAGGATTTTGTCCGAATTTGTTTGGACGAAACCGTATTCATTTTTGTGCTGAAGTTGCTCAACAAAAAACGGGGCAAAAAGGCGAATTTTATACTAAACTCACTTGACATACACCTTGTAAAACTTTTATGACTTAAGTGACCTTAAGCACCCTTATTAGCTATTGTATAACTTAACTCAGTTCAGATATGTCTAGTAAAACTTTACAGCTCAATTATGGCATCAATCGGCAGTAATAATCCTTGCGGTTCGGGTTCATTTTACTATTTTACTCACAAAATTATCTCCAGTAGTGAAAAAACATTGTATACATTCTTAAGATTTGAAATGAAGGATAACAAAGCGATTTCATACGAATATGTATAATTTTCAAATATGTTATTAAAAGCTGCTCTATTTGATTTTAGTACTTAAATATTCATTGCGCAAACACAAGTGTACTGAAGCAATTAAAAATTTTATTAAATGAAGTGCTGGTTTCTTATAGTTTTGAAACTGATTGAAAAATACATTTTAAACAGAACGCCATTGAAATAATACAGGAAACAAAAATATAATATGAAAGTTTATTCTCTTCCTATAAAAAAATTAAATCTATTTTCCGAAACTATTTTAAATTTTTCATAATAACACTCAGTTGAGAAAATCTCTTGTACTTACAATAACAATCTTAACAACGAATCATATTGACTCCTAAAATTGAAAACACTAATAAGTCAGATTATTTTAAATATCTACTTAATTACCTTTACATGTGAATTTTTTCTAGGGCATTATTTAGCGCCCATACTTTGGTTGATGTTTGTATGGGCTGCTCAAAATCCAAATTTATACATCTACAACAGACTGCATATGTGATAACTACACATTTTGGGGGCTCGATTTCGTCATCTGTTATCACAGTATTTCGATGGTACAAATTTTTTTATCTGATCAACCAACACCTTTTCTTTTCCTGTTGGTAAGTCACCTTCATTGTCAATATAGTAGTATATTTGACTACAAAGTAGCACCCATCTCTTTTTCTCCTGTATTGTACTTCTTGTACAGAAAAAAATTTTGGTAAAATTCTTACAAATGGTGCTTTTTTTGCATCCTCATTTTCTTCCCAAGTACAATCAACTACATGATCATCTGAAACGTATAAGGAATAAAAATTGAACCATGAATGTTAATTATAATTCTCACCGTTTAGAAAATTGGGGTAATTCTCCACGATTTCTTGGATATGGCGATACATCTTACCATATCCCTGCTCAAAACTATTGAAAAACCAGTCCCACAAAGGAAAATCTCAAAACAGGGAACGCAAAAAATTCAGGTGGGTGCAGGTGCAAGTTTCATCCATAGAAAAGAGTACTTTTAACAACTAGAAATGCACACTGAAAACATACCAATTATTATTTTTATATTTACCAATTATTAGTTTACCTTAAACTCTCTAAAAGGAACTATAGTTTTGATAATGACTCGCCCGAATAAAGAGCACAATATGATTCTATACATATCTTTGTCGCTCCCATTGCATTTGATACTGGTCCTAACTCGTGCCATCTCTTGTCCTATTCCACAAGCTTTCAATGTTCAAGGTCATTGTATTAAGTTTCCACCCCCTGCTTTCATCAAGGTTTCATGCCAACAGTAAGAAAAAGAAACAAAAGTTACTACTGTTACCAGTCTGTTACTAGAACGCCCCTAGAAATCTTAGAATAAAACGATTAGAGACCCAATTATTTAGTCTCTAGAAACGATCACGAAACGATGACCTCTGGTGTCCAAGTAGACAATTAAATTTGAAACTAATTTGGCGGCAAATTTAAATTTTCTTAAAAAATTGTTATCTACATGTGCTTGCATAGTATCCCTCCTACCTTAAAAAACAGGACAGAATTCTTAATATTTTGACTGTTGTGCTGAACACCATGAATTTTAAGTGTTTTTAAAAGGTGAATTTTCTTGGCCGAAATTGTATTTATATGTGTGCTGAAGTGGCCCATCTTACCAATAGGTCAAAATCTTTAATCACTTTTGGAAAAACAGGGCTATGAATTCGTTTCGCTTATGAGGACTTTGTTCAAATTTGTTTGGACGAAACCGTATTCATTTTTGTGCTGAAGTTGCCCAACAAAAAATAGAGCAAAAAGGCGAATTTTATACTAAACTTACTTGTCATATAGCTTGTCAAACTTTTATGACTTTAGCGGGTTAAGCCAAAGCACCCTTATAAGTCAAACTGGCTATCGTATAACTTAACTCAGTTTACATATACCTAGTAAAAGTTTACAGCTCCATTATGGCAACAATGGACAGTAATAATCCTTGCGGTTCGGGTCCATTATAAGGGTGGTTTGGCACAAGCCGCTTAAGTCATAAAAATTTTACTCATGGTACAAGTAAACATGGTATGGACACGCGCATGTTGTCGTGACGTCAGGTGGCTGTTCGATGAGCGTGTGAAATTGAAATCTACATTTAAAAACTGCTTAACTAAGTATAGCTGCTATTTTAGAATATATGTATGACTTATGCATAAAAGTAAATTATTTAGAAATTTAGCAAAGGTTTTTTTCTGTCAAACATTATTTGTAACAATGTCATTCCCCTGATTAATAGACTCCGATAGTACCGGCATTTTTATTACCTTTCGTCATTGTCGTTTTTATACTTTTACGTTCAAAATCATGGATTTTAGATGATGCCAAAGCCTGCAGACTTTGTAGTAATAATACAACGTGTGTATGCATAATATTACTAACAAACTGTCAAATTGTGGCTATTCATTCCACGTGACGTCACGTAGTTGGTGCGCAGAAAAAGCTCGATTTGGTTCACGGGATGTCCATACCATGTTTACTTGTACCATGCATCCCTAGTTTTACAAGGTGTATGTCAAGTGAGTTTAGTATAAGTGTTTTTAACGGGTGAATTTTTTTGGACGAAATCGTATTTACGTTTAATAAAAACGGGGTATATCCCTTAAAATTTTTACTTTTTTAAAAAAAGGTAAATGTTTAAAAAAAAACAAAGTGTTTTTGAAGGGGACTTACTAGTAGTTACAATAAACATTTTCTCTATGTTGTGATAACCCAAACTTCCCGCCTTAAAAATTGACCTTGAAACAGTTTGAAAGGCCCGCAAAAATTTCAAAATTCAAAGTTTGGCCTTGGCTGTGATCGTCTAACAAATGAGAACCTACGTTGTGTGTTTTTTTTTTTTTTTTTGGTTTTGAAAAATGGCGGGAAGAAGTTCTTTCATACAAGTGCATACACTGTCGAGAGCGCAAGCAATAATAGACAAAATTAGGAGCCTTCCTAAGGAGGAAAAAGAAACGAAGAACGACAGACGCTCGATTTGCCCTTCTGGCGAGTCCGCAGGGCCAAGGTGTCATCGGTCTTCATTCCCCAAAACCCCCTGGGGTTTTATTCACCGACATATTACATGTCAAACACCTTAAGATATGTGAAAGAAAAACACTCGCGAATTGACAGACATACACATATGAAAACCGAACAAACACAAGACCTACACATATGTAAATTGGATGGCAGAACCCGAATCATTATGAGAGTGTGGCGATCGAACAAAACATAGAACAAAATATAGCAATTTCATTTACGAGCACAGCAAAATACCCAGAGGGGGCGTTGTAGCGCAAGTAGAGGTTGGGACTCCTGATCGTCACTGTTCTCCCCCACGACGGTGATTCTATCTACACCAACGCCTGCTCACACGCATCTCTCCATTACGAACGTGCCCTGCGAAACGAGGCGGTTACGATCGCAGATCCGTAGTGGGGTCTCGACTATTGGGCCAAGTCGACAGCGTTAAAGACCCGCGATCGCCCCCTGAAGCTATACAAACCCGCGGATTTGTGCAGGTGCCGCGATTAATCCCGTCAGTTTGAGAAGGAGTCGCGCGCCCCACGTACACTACGAGTTATGTGTTATTTACCTTCAATTTCATTTAAATGTTCAATCTCTATGACTCTAATATTAAATGACAACCGAACAAGTGTTAAAGTTTCAGCAAAGAGCAATCCACAACATTTAAATTCGCCACACACTCTTACGAAAATTCAACAACAAATGATTCTTAATTGAGATTAAATTTGGACATCAGATAATTTATATGAGAGAAACATTCATCAACAAAATATTTACATGATCAAAACTTAGCAAGGATTTATAAAAACAAGATCTGGTGTGAAATAAGCTTGTACAAATTAAATATCATGTTAGGTCAAAACTGCAGAGCATGGAAATTTACGTTCAATTCAAATTATACAACAAAGAAAATTACTGAAGCTAAAATTGTGAGACAAAGACAAATTGCATGAGGTGAAAGATTGTAAAGTTAACAGATTTACATGTGATTAATATTAATTCGTGTCCAGTCAAGTTATTGGTTAAAATTCAAAACGTGAAACTATTTTGCTGCATTGTGGGCCATTATTACACACACATTTCCCCAAACAAAACACATAAACAAACATGGCAGACAATCTGCAGATCCAAAATGGCGTTGGACGAATTCGTCATTCCAAATAATAGGCGTCGAAAATATGCGATGCAAAAATACGATGAATCCTGTGACGTTGTATAAACGATGTGCTAAATAAAAGGAATAAAGGCACGTCCCCCCATGACCCACAATGTTGTTAATTTTGTTCAATAGATTCAGTTAAAACATGTGCTCGATTAAAAGAAACAAAATGGACGCTTCAAAATGGCCGCTGCCTGAACAAAGAACGGTGAAAATAACAATTCGTTTGCCGCCATCCAAAATACAGATTTCACAAATATAGCTAAATAAAGCATGGCCCGAACTAGACATCACTTCCTGTAAAGCCCTACTGCGATGGATTTTAAATGAAAGATAAAAAAACGAGATTAGTGGAAAAAAGCGCACGCGTCGAAGTGTCACGAGGTCAGAAGCATCGTCGGGGCTTGAATCTCGCGGCGAAACAGGTGTTCAAAACATACCTCTCCAAAGATGCGAAGATTTCGACACGGCTTACCGCCAACAGGAACACAAAAACCTCGTCGTAAGAACGGTGAGAAATCAGGAACACCCAATGGCTCAACGGAGGCTGCTAGGTTTTCCAATGGAACAGATCAACACTGGAAAAACAAAACACAACAGCAAAAGGCACAGAATAATTCACAATTAAAAATACAACCTGTTGCTCGAAGCGCTCGAAAAGAAGTCGACCGTTCTCTCCAAGCGATCAAAAGGAAGTGACCGTTTTCAAGACAATATCATAGAGATGTGTCGTTCGCGAACGAACGAATCAAATTGAACGGGTCGTTCGAATGAACGAGTGACCGAAATCGTTCCCAACGCAAACTGGTCGTTCTTTCGTTCATTTCGTTCACTCGTTCACTCGTTCACCGTTCACATTGTCTCGACTGAATCTTAATTCCGTTGGATCTTTGAACCATGGTTCCAGCACAGTTCTATGTTCTGTATCAAATACTAGGAGCACATGCTATGCTATTTATGGAATTAACTAAGAACATAAGTTTTCCCGACAGATTAATTCCAGTAGTATGAATTTAAATTAGGAACCGGGAACGAAAATGACAATTTATGACGATAACTAATATACAATGTTCATAAACGTCTGAACATTAGAAACTAAAAAAATAAATGTAAATAAATAATTATTATTACTATTGTAATGATTATTAATAAAAAAAATCCCTATGGCCACGTAAAATGGGTAATGTATAATATAGTCAATGAACGTGACTATTCACGGCTTCATCACATTAGAACGTAAGGAAAAGGTATAAAAGGAAACAAAACAAATCTGCTCCTACATTGTTAATCGTAAGGGCGACGACCGAATGATTCGAAAGATCCAATAAATTATTTTTTTTTTAGTCAAAAGTTGCTTGGAAGCTGTAATAAAAACGAATTTAATTTTTGTGTCAAAAGTGCTATTGATGTATTTATTAACACAATTATTTGCGTCCACAAATTCAAGTTACTTTTTTTAAATATTAAATTATTATTTTTACATCACAGAATTCAGAAAAAAATCGTTACATGAATCTCTAAAAAAATGGGAGGCATTAAAAAAAATTAAATGTAGACAAAACCAAATAAACGTTAAATCATTAATTTTTCGAATCAGATCATAGTATATTTCAAACGATTTAATTTGACGTATCACACAATGCAGTATTCGAAAAAAAAGACAGCAATGGGCCGGGTTTTTTTTTCGAATACCTATGCGATAGTTCTGAGCATGACCTTCCCTATACAGTGATCGGATTCAAGCAAAAGGGAAACTAAGACCATTGACCGAAGAGCCGAAAGACCGAATGATTCATCAATAGATCCCTGAGCCTTGAATGATTATGAACGAAGTGAACGGTGAACGATGTGAACGGTGAACGAAGTGAACGAAATGAACGAAATGAACGACATTTGACGACCGGGTCTTCGTAGGGACCGAACGATGAACGACCCGTTCGTGGTGATGACCGAATCTGCCCATCCCTACAATATCACCCTCGCTTTGCGCATCTCTGTTTCTTTGGGGTGGTTGGTTGCCAACCTCTCCTTCTTCTCACTAACCGTTTCTTGTGCGCGCGAAATTCATTTGAAATTTAAAAATTCGAATTGGATCCTTACAATGTCCTAAGTAAAACGAGCCCTAAAATATTGCTTTTGTTATGCAGTGTTTCATTGCTTTCGAATTCTGTTAACTACTCTTTAAGAAAATTGCAATGGTATCTAATAGTACCTATTCTTGTTATTATTAACATAAATTATTTTGTACGTATAATTGTAAAAAATAAATATCAAAGTAGTTATGTAATTCGGTTACAATAAATATTTCTAAATATCATTTCTTGGACCTTATTCAAAATCCACTACTCATTATCCCCTCCTCGTTGCAGATAACCTTTCTAACAAAACATAAACATGTATTAAGATAACGTGAAACAATCACTTTAACCATGTTTTGTAATACAATACGTACATTTTTGTATAGGGGTGTTCAAACTCCATTTAGACGAAATCTCGTAAGTAGAGAAAAAACAAAGTACATTTACTTACCCTATTTATTGTAGCACAAACCTGCTATTCGTATAGTGGAAGTGGGTCCCAGAGACGGTTTACAAAATGAAGCCATACATGTCCCCACAGATGTAAAAGTAGAATTTATTAACAAATTATCAGAGACTGGTTTACAAACCATAGAAGTGACAAGGTATCTTAATACAACGTTGTATGTTAAAATTTTGAGTGAGGGTTTTTAGTTTTGTTAGCCCCAAATGGGTACCGCAAATGGGAGACAACACTGAAGTATATACAAAAATTAACAAAAAACCGTCTGTAGCATACCCAGTTTTGGTACCCAACGTCAAGGGTTTAGAGAGTGCTGTATGTCTTCTGAAGTAGTTGAGGGTTTGATGTGAATTATGGTTTCAGGTGTCAGTGGGAGCCAAAGAAATCGCGGTATTTGGTTCCGCATCTGAAGGTTTTGCGCGTAAGAACACTAACTGTTCCGCTGAGGAAGCCCTAGACAGAATAAAGGAAATTGTAAACAAGTCGCAGATTCTAGATGATACTTTAAAAATTAGAGGTTATATATCGTGTGTTGTTGGTTGCCCATACGACGGCCACATCAAGCCCGAAGCGGTAACTAAAGTTTGTGAATTTCTGCTAAGTTTGGGATGTTATGAGGTGTCTTTGGGTGACACCATCGGCGTAGGGACTAAATCAACAGTGGAACCCATGTTAAAAGATCTTTTAAAAATTACTACAGCTGATAAGCTTGCTATACATTGTCATGATACATATGGCCAAGCGCTAGTCAATATTTGCACAGCTCTTGAACACGGGATTAAAGTTGTTGATTCTTCAGTTTCTGGCCTTGGAGGATGTCCTTACGCGGTAGGGGCAACCGGAAACGTAGCAACCGAGGATTTGGTCTACATGTTACATGGACTAGGAGCTGAAACTGGAGTAGATTTAAAGAAATTAATTGATGCTGGACACTACATTTCTGAAAAGATTAATAAACCTACGGCGTCGAGTGTCAATAAGGCGCTTTATAAGAAATACTTTTAACTTTTTGCCAATAAATTGTTGTTTGAAGAGTTGCGCTTTTTTTAAATTTAGGGATGTGATAAATGGGGACGGGATTATAGTCTTAAAGGTTACACAACTTGCTAACCCGAAACGGGGCGCGTGTTTGCCAGATTGGCTTATCAAGTAATTTTAGTGTAAACTTTTAGCAATAAGTTTTCACTTTGTAGAATTATTTAGTAGTTGTGTTAGTGGATTTGCTAGGATAGTTATTTATTCAAGGTGTTTCTTCGTTGCGAGGTTTAAATTTAGCCGCCGCTGTGCCAGATGTGGCAACGTTGGTCGCCTCAATCATTTGTTTTGGATTGGATCCCTTGTAAAAATGGCTTCTAGATTGTCAAAGTAATAGAATGTTTGCTAGTGCTTTAGTTAAGTCCTTTAAATAACCCAAAATAGCAATCAAACTATGTTGCAAACTAATTACAAATAATCGTGTGTTCGTGTTTTATAAAGGTAAGTTTATTACATGTCACTTGATGGAATAACTAGAACAGAAAAATCAATTACGTGAATCATGTTATAAACATTTGGATATCATAGGTCCAATATGAGGATAAACGCAACAAGAATGACCACTCCAATTGAAGAAAAGGTGGATCAGAAGTTAAAAGTGAGGACTGGAATGGTAACAGTAAGTGACGGAAAGAGTAGACCGATACCTGTTCGATTACATCTGTCCATGGAAGTATTGAGGCTCCAGAAAGAAGAATTAATACCTTTGGAGTCCAAACCGCTAAACGCTAAGGTAATAAACGTTAAGTCAACTCAAAGTTCCGCGAATGAAAGCTCTATTTCTAGGAACGTATGGTCCAAATTCGCAGACAAAAAGTAGGAGGCCTTGGCTTAAGTATAAAAGGTGGAGCTGAACACAAGCTGCCTATTTTAATCTCCAGAATATATAAAAATCAAGCTGCCGATCAAACGGGTGAACTATTCGTAGGAGATGCCATCATTAAAGGTAAGTTTAAATTTGTGTCATTTACCACTTCAAATTCAGACGCGATTTTTATTGTATAATTCGCAATTCTAGTAAATGGGGAATACATCACCGCCTGTCCACATGATGATGCCGTGAATATTTTAAGAAATGCGGGAGATTTAGTTGTTTTAACGGTAAAACATTACAAAGCTGCAACGCCCTTTTTGCAGAAACAAGAGGATAAAGAATCTCAACAAACTGACAGCAATAGTGACGAAAAAGAGGCTTCCGATGAGAGTTTGAGGCTTACTACAAATAGTACTAGTAGTAGACCTAGCTCAATATATTCCGAATCTGAACAAGAGCCTCAAACTCGCTGGGTTGATCTTGTCACTCTGCCTTTAATGATGGCTTATGTTACAAGATATATATTTGGAACAGATAAATTAAGACCTAATGCTTTTGAAGTTAGGGGCCTTAATGGCGTCAGTACAGGCATCATACATTGTGATGACTCTGCTATACTTTCTCAGTGGCTTAAATATATAACTGATAATATCATAGGGCTAACTAACTTACAGGTAAGTAAAACTTGAAGGCGTTAACGAGATACTAATTAGTCAATCATTGTGACTTAAGACTTGTATGACTGCTTTCATGGCGCCTGACATGAATTAATTGAATTGTATTAGATTTATGTGTTATTATATGTGGAAGAGTTAGGTTAGAAATTCATAAACAACTAAAACGACTACAAGAACACTTCATAGATATGTGAAGTGGCGTGACGTCACGTGATTTGAATTTTGTATTTTGTAAAGTGGCAATTGACCTTCCAAACTTTACAAAAACACATTCAAATATCAAAGAAATTTTCCAATGACGTTTACAATGTTGATCTTCCCATGGCGATTTTTGAACGGTGCATACTTGAATACCCGTTTCTGTAAGGTGTTTTAATGGAAGAAATTTTCACACGTTCTATGGATGTTTTAAAAATGAAACATTTTGGCTGTGAGCTTGGTCTTGTCTTACGCATTATGCATTTTTTATCTTTTGATATAAATTATTTCTTTTATCTGTGCACATTTCAGATGAAGTTGTATAATCGAAACTTCAGCGTGTCCGATCGCATCGAATATATGGGGTGGGTAAACGAAGGTGTCCTTAATAATAACCAGCCTTGGCAGAATTACAAGCCGCGTTTTTTCGCCCTAAAAGGCACAGACTTAATGTTATTTGATTCACCGCCTGTGAGTTGCCCGCAATTTACTCATAATAATCAATTCACTTGATCGTTGCAGTTAAATGTAATGGATTGGAGTAAATGCCCTTTAATGTTTAAAGTTTACCAGACAATGTTCCGTGTAGTTAAGGATTCTGAGAACGTCGATGAACGTCAACACTGTTTTTTAGTCCAAACTTCCGGTCAAGATTCTCGGTACTTCTCGGTGGAAACGAGACAGGAACTGTTAAAAATTGAAAACGCATGGCATTGTTCGGTGTGCACTGCGGTCATGAAATTAGGGGTATTTGCACTGATTATTATCGATTGTGCTATTTTTAATAACTGTTTTTAGAATAAAACTTTCACTGTTAGTTGTAACGGTAAAACCGCCGGGTTGACCCTGGATTGGAACTTAGGGTTTTCGCTTCATGAAGGTGATTCAAAAACTCCAGTTTGGCAATACAAGTTTTCGCAGTTGAGGGGATCGTCGGACGATGGGAAATCTAAATTAAAGTTGCATTTTCAGGATTCCGAATCGAGGGCTATAGATACGAAGGTATTGATGTTTCGTTCCGGTTAGACGTAACCTCATTGCTGTTATGTTTCAGGAACTGGAATGTTCCATTCTACAAAGTTTGCTGTTCTGTATGCATGCGTTTCTAACAGCAAAGGTAGCGTCAGTAGATCCCGGTTTTCTATGTTCTATGATGCCATAAGTGAGAAGTAGACTGTCGACTGTCAAATAAGTATTATATACATGTCAACTATTTACATGGCAGGTGTTGAAAATGTGGTTGTAAAAATTTGGAAATTTGGTTGGGAATATTTTCGTAGCAGAATGTATTTGTACACCGTTGCTGTACTATAATTAGTAATTTATTATATTGTTGGCTCACCATTGCGTATGAAATATGGTGCTATTTTAAGTCATTTTTGCTAGAAGTTAAAACCATTTGAAATATGAGCTAATAAGATTTATGGTAGGGTAATGGTGAGACATCATTCTGTGTAATAAAAGTGATACTTGTAAAATTGTAAACTTACTTGGACTTGATCTGTCTTATCATTAATATTAATGAGGTCAGTATTGAATAGTAACTATGGGTAATAATGTAAGTAGAATAGTAACTTCTGGACATAATACTCCTATTTCTGAGATTATTTTTATTAATAGAATGCACAACGTCTGCGTTGCACGAAATTTGTTAAAATGATATTGTTGGTGATGTTCCTTATATAACACCTATCAACTAAACTTAGCTTGAGGTAAATCGTGTACAACATACACTACCAAAAGTGTAAATTTAGTTGGTCATGGGTAGATAAATATCATTTATTTCTATATGCTATCAATTTTAGAAATACTTCTTATCCATAAGACGTGGAAGGCACAACGTAAATGTACAGTAGACTTCAATATCAATATCTACACATCATTGTTTAAGTAGATGTCTATGTTAACTGTAGTACATCAACGCTGTTACTGTAGCGTTTCCATCCTTCATTAAATGGGAACGATTTTCGAACCATGATACGTATCTACACGTTGTTTTTTATAATAGAATCTGTTTCATCGCATCATATCATATCAACAACTATATAAACATCTACTTTATTGGAAAAATCGAACAAGTCATATGTGTTGATTCAGTTTTGGTCATTTGCCTTTTGAAACATATAATCAACGATTTAAACACTAGCACATACTAGACCAAAACAAAATCACATTATCAGAGGACCGTCTGACATGAAATGTATTCGTACTGGTTTTCATAAGTGAGCATAGTCTGTAGTTTTTCATTCCGGTCTAACGTGACAACTAAGATTAGCCAATAGCTTATTTTATTTTTTAACGAACTTTTGACTAGTGAATGGTGTAAGATGTGGTAGATTCTGGTTGTAATATATCACACGAAAAATTTTGATTGATCGTGTGATGTAATACTATCGAGTGATTATTATTATTATTTAAAGCATATTAATTCGATTAGCTATATATTTGTGTAGATTAGCTTATTTGTTTTAACTGCGAAGTAATCAAGAGCTAGTCCTATGTCTTGGTGATTTCTAATTTTGCTTCCATGAGAGTAGTTAGTACTATTATTTTAGCATATGGCAACTAACTTCAATAAATATATCATTAGGTGTACTTCGTAGGTTGGGAGAGTAGGAATGTCGGCCGTCGTAGGGAATTATTCATAGGTATTCCAATACAGTAGGATGGTGTTAGGGTTATAAGTATTTGATAGTCAATCATCCATTTGTTCAATTAGTATTCATTAGCAATAAGTGTATAACAGGATTATATTTGTATAAAAAAAGATTATGATGATTTGAAACTAGTTTTGAACCAAAGCATAAGTGATCTCTAAATAAATTAAAGTGTATTTATTGTTATTTACTGTTGGTAAATCTTGCAGTATAGGTGGTAAAACCAAGTTGTCAAATTAATTTAGTATCGTTAATTAGTTGTTAAATTTTGAATGAATCTTATGAAATATATGATGCATTGATTAAAGAGATTAAAATACCGTTAGCTTTGGCTTTAAAGTTAATATAGTTATTTAGTGCATTTTACAAAGAAAAGGTTGTGATTTTTTATTTTGAATCACCCATCGAACTCGAAGGTAATTATATTATTTCAGACTGTCTATATATTTTACATTGTTTAAAATTGACCAATTTAGTGTTTTCAATTTCAATTGAAAATTATAGTTATTAATCGTTGACAATATGAATAAATTTATTTAGTACCCAAACTCTTTTATTTATTCATATTACACTTAAGGCGGGGAAGTTTTTTTAAAAATAAATCTTGAAAGAGTAAATAAGGACGTATTTGATTTTCGATCGGTGAAGTCTTCTGAACGAAGCATTAAGGAAGCCTTTCCGTTGCCAAGCAACACGTCAGTCGCTGCAATGTACGCGAGCTCAAAAACACCATATTTTTCAACACGTACTTATCAAGATGCCACAAAACCGTTTTGCTAAGTATTTTACTATAATTTAGAACGAAGAACTTGCAGTAAAAGTGAGTGATCGTAAAACTAATTAAGCGTCTATTCTTTACTTTGTAACGTTATTAAATTGAGTTAAGTATGAATCGCATTTAGTTTATTAGTGTAGACTAATGTGAATTTTAAAGCACGTATTTAACTATGTATAAAATAGGCATTACTCATGACAACAAAATAACGTAGACGCTGGTATCTGTGCCATACGCTTGGATCCAGCTGAAGTATTCATCAAAAGATCATTAAGGACCAAACGTAAAACATTATACTTAAGCACGATTCGATTTCTCGTTATTGGTTTTTCAATGTAGCATTAATTCGCGTCATGTTTTACTTTACTATTTAGTACTCTAGACTTGTCTGAATACGTTCTACATTTCTTTTTTGGTTTTGCGTCGCAAGATGAATTATATAATCGGAGTTTTCCGGTTTGTTGAAGATGACCAGCTATACAAAGGTGAATGTGACGCTGAATTGAATAATGAGTAGGAAAATAGGTTGAGGATTTCTATACATCCGCTTCCATAATTACCTACCTTCAAAAATGTAGAGGTGCGGAAATCTTTTTGTTTTAATATTTGTCTCCAATATATTGCGTTAATTTTAAATGAGAATGTAGAGATCTGTTTAAACGGTGTTCCAAAATTACTCTGATTGGAAATTGTGCTGCAATTTAGCACACTGAGCTCCAATTACATTGTACTATGTGCATGTAACATCGTGACTATATCTTGTGCATTACGTGCCTATGCATCACGAATGGCAAAAAGGGGCTTCATTGTCGAAAATTATACCGTATTTATATGAACTCATTAAGCTTTACTGTATGTGAATTCAAAAAGCATAAATTGTTTGAAAGGAAATCAAGTTTTCATTGTCTCCGTTCACGAGAAATCCACTAGGTGTCACTTTGAGTAGAGTGTATGAATATAAGATATATGTGAAATACACGATAACAGGATTAGCAGAACCCTAAAGTGGATATCAGTATTAATTCACTTTTCGGAGTACGTGCTTAATTTAGTCCTTGCAAATTCTGGAACGTATCTTGAACCGATTTCGTTTCATCAGTAACGAATGTATCCACGTGTGTTAACTTCTCAGCCACTTGACAATAGCCGGAGGACTCATCCATTTTAATTAAATCCTGTTCCGTCTTCTAGAACTCCCTTATTTCCTACACGTACTCGAATCTACATATTTGACACGTAAATTATTTTAGAGCTTTACAGATATTTTTTAATGTTTCCTTAATAATGGCCTGTCGTCTAAACGTATTCGCTGAAATATTTCATTCTGACGAAAATGAGGTAAACATTTTCTTCAAACGTGACAAAAAATTGTTCTACGTTTTATGGGAGTAGATAAATCTAAATGTTATTTCGGGGCAAAACAATGAGGTACATCCAAAATATTTTTTAGATAAGTTATAAATCACAGCAAAATTTTAGATGCTGTGATCAAACAGTTGGGTCTAGTTGTCCCGATCCCAAGGCATCTATGGGGATTTTTTTTGTTACCCTTTTGTTTTGAACAATGATACAGACAATGATAATATTCATCACGTTCTTTATGACTTTTAGTTCCTCAGAAATTACAAAATACGAGGCAAAGGCGAGACCGGGTAATGTAAATAATATTCCTCAGTGGTTTAGCTAAAACCACATTCCAACACAATTATGATCTGTTCTCGACAACACGAACCTTAGAATAAGCGTAGAGTTTAATCATACTGATTATTTGACTTGACACGACGTCACGTCAAGCTAATTTTATCATGGGCGGAAACTGACTCTAGTTTAGGGGACTTGGTGTTAAAATACATGTTCACATACAGGCTGTATGGATGTTCCTTAAGGTTACATTAGGTAAGGTCAAGGGATGTCGATAAGTTAGTAATTTTTTTATCAATGTAGATTGGAAGAAAATAATAATGCATGAACACCTTTATTTTTTAAGAAGATAACCATAGCAACACCTACTTATGTGTTTTTAATCCCATTTAAGACACATATCTCAGTTGGCGAGGGTGAACTTAAGTAAGTCTAAACATACAGTGCAATTTTATATTAGTAGAATGTTTGGACGAAAGAACAGTATTCCTCCCTCGTCAAAAAATTGTCTGGTTTATTAGAGGGTAGTAAACTAATACTTGTTAAGATAAGACTGATTTTGGCAAATGATATACCCTTTAAGAAACTAGAGGGCGGGTGGGCGGGTAATCATGGTAAACATTATCGATTTCTGCTAACATACTAAATAGAATATAACGAAAAGTGTGCTAACGGAGATATTACCTTCTGAAAATATAAAAATCCGGTGAGCTAGAGGTAGGGCTCCTCTTAACAAGTGTCGGCGTCAGGTAGGCGCATGGGCATTGAAACTGACGTGACCTTACCTGTCACCTTTGTGATGGAATCAACTCAGCTGATGTCCGTGCGGAGTAGAAATTTAATATCTGTTTGGTTAAATGTACATTGGTGCTGTTGCTGTCGCGTCGGATTGACGGAGAAGTGATTTGATGTCAACAAATCTCCACACTGGATGGAATTCGAACTATATAATTATAATGTGACTTAAGGCAGATTCTTAAGTATTGTCACCAATTTTACTTATAAAACGCAATTTATCCAGACCATTGTTTTAAGTGGTGTTCATTTAGTTACCTCCGAAAGTTCGCCTCTCTATTTATTTATGTACAGCGAGCGCAGCGAGTAAAAGTGAAAACAAAACAAATATTCCCATGATTGACAGGACATTTTTAGTTCTAATGAAAATTTACAGTCTTGTTACGGATTTGTAAAATATGATGAGTTTTCATCGTTGGTGATTGCGACGTTGTTATGAGAGAGTAAATTCCGAAATAACCAGGAGATTTATCCAAAGCTTGTTTTTATGTTCAATAAAGATTTTACGAAATATCGTTTTAAACCATGTAGGGTAAAGAACAGTCCATAGGTTGCAAGTTGGCGTTAATTTTCACAGTTTTAGGCTAAATCGATAATGTGGCGCAAATTATATTGTCCCTCAAATCAACTAAAATGCCTTTACGCTCGTATGACAAATACAGGTGGTTATTATATGTGGTAAATATTTAGTTTAAACATTTCTGCTTTAGATCTGATATTTTCATGTTTCACTACTTTGACGTTTAATTATGGCAGAGTAAAAAGTTAGGTTGGTAGTTAAGATACACATCAGGCATACTTTAAACAGTGTTTTGTTTGCAGAGTTATTTTATTTGAGTTATTTTCGCTAGACGGATGTGGAAGATCAGCGTACGTTTTAATCGCGTTGCGTCGGCAAACGTTCAACCTGCAGTTAAAACATTTGCCTTTAAATATCTCTTGCGATGAAATTTTAAACATTGAATAATTTAAATATTTTCGCTTTGGGTTGTATGATTTTTGCTTGGTGGTGGTGTTTATACAGAAAAGTTCGCCTGGGAGATAATTATGGTGAGTTTTAAGGTATTTAATCCACCTATATTGATATCGAAAGGAATTTGGAATTAAGCATACAATTTGTACAGTTGTTTGCGCTCGCCGCGCAAATCGTATTTATTAACTTTTTTAACGATGTGGTGTGTCTTCTGGATCATTCATTGTATGACATGAGTAGAGGTGACCTTCGTATTAATTATGTAAGTATTCCAACTAGACTCTTCTCGTTTAATCAATACGAAAGTTACATAGGGTATAGAGATACCTTGATGGGTGTGCCGGGTCCGAGTATTTAATAGCATATTTACCATCCTATTTGCAATTAGTGATAAAGGACGTTTCAGAATCAGAACGGACGTAGTCTTCAATTGAGCCCCGAAATTAACTTCGTACGGGCAGATAAAAGGCATTCAAACACCACAATATACAAGTTCCGTTAATGCAAATCAGTTTCTGTTGTGTGAAGATACATACCTCTTTTTATTCCAAGGACAAAGTTATCGATGCTGCCTTTTTTGTTCTGTGTGTTTAGTAACTTTTTCGATTCAAAGCGAAGTGAACAAAGCTCTATAGGGTGTATTTTTTTTTCAATTAAATTCCCCCAATTACATGGTTTGCGAACTTGAATCGTCGAATTCCATTCCGTTAACGGTTCGTGTATTTGAATTTTGCATGGAGAGAGCGACAACTGTTGTCCATAATTCATTTGAGAGGTGAATAGGAGAGATTTGGAGCAACCGTGGATCCTTTGTTTTAGACTTCCTATCACCGAAGTCCTTAACTTCCTCATGCGTCCGGTTAGGTATTGGTAGTAGAGAGAGCTGCCGCCCTTTCGCGTTATCCCGTTAAATACACATTGTGGCTAAGCGGCAAGTAAATTTAATAGTAAGCCCAACGCAAACTAGTCATTATAACAAGACATAATAGAAAAGTCTAATTAAGTTGCAAGTTGTTGAGGGAAAAACGCCAGAAAGAACAGCTGTGATGCTAAGTTATAACGAATTTTTTAGTATGATTACTTACATTTAAAGATAAAATGAGAATCTTTAGTGAATGCAGCTACTGAAACTCCAAAAAGGAAACTGGACGTCACAAAAAATTACAGAAAATTTTTAGTAAGTTATACTGTGATAGAACTCAGCGAAACCCACAGGAATTAATTCAAGTGCAAAATAATATACAGCCAGGTTATTAATATATCTGTTGATTTAACATCGGTTAGATACGAGGAATGATTGCAACTACCTACTATATTAAGACTACACTCATGACTTAATTACACTTTATAGTTTGTCTAGATTTATCATTAACGACGAATATTAACGTTTTACAAGATCACATTTAATTAATGTTATTTTTGGAGGTTATTTTGTTTAGTTTAGAAAGTCTTTCTCATATTAATAATTCTAATGTGTTTTAACTATTGACACCCAAGCACCAAACACAACATGTGGTCTTCGTGCCATTAATTTAAATTTCAAGAAATTAGGTACCAAAAGCGTAATCACTTGGATTGCAGACCTCAAGGCCAGGAATTTACGTTGACGATTATCGTTTTGAAAATTTGATTACCGCCACCCTTGCAATTTGCAATAGAAGTATGGGAAAACTAAATACTGTCGCAAACAACCAAATAACACACTTTGCGTTATGTTTTTGTTTGTGGTACATGCGTTGTATTTGCTTATCAGGTTAAGTGAAGCATTCAAGCGCCAGCCAGGTGTACCTAATCCAGCGACTTGTGTCCTCGTTACGGTTTTTATTAGTATTAAGAGCCAGTGAGTGAAATAACAATGGCACATGAAGGCCATAGGTATGCTTCACAATTACAAATAACATTTACGTTGATTGCGACGGCATTTTAACGTCTTCATCAAGGAGAGAAAAAACAAACAAAGAAACTGAAAGCACCCGTTCTCCTCTAGAAAAAAATAATTTAAAATAAAGCTCTTGTAAGAAAGGACTTAAGTGAATTAAATAATTTGACTACGTTAATCTTTGTTTTTGGATTATGTAATTTAATACCACAAATTTGTGATGAAAGTCAGTTTGTCATAGGGATCTGTTTTTATTTCTTCCTCTTTTTGTTAACTGACATGGAACATACTGAGTATATAATTGCAGTAGGCATGTAGATAACAAGATAAATATTATATTTTAAGTACTTTACAAAACCACCATTTGAAAACTAATGTCTATCATAATTTTTACAAGTTGTTATTTACTCAATAAGAAGCTTACCACTGTTTCTGTAGCCCCTAATAGTCAAAACCACGGTAGAGTTTAAAACCCGCTCCAAGGATTCTAGGAATGAACAGAAGGGTACATGCCCTTAGGGTACCAGAATGCGTTTTCGACCCGGAGAACCTCACCTCCGGTCCAGATCGGGCGTTTACTAACCTCACACCTGAAGTCCGGTCCGTGGTCAATAACAAGTTTTACAAAATCGTATCCAGCTTTTATCATGTTACAAAATTGTTTGCGTTATAAAGTTCTGCCGTTGTCTAACTTCTTCACTTACTACACGTCTACTTACCTACTACTTTGCCCTGGATTTTAAAACTGGAATTTAAAAAGGGACAGCTAAATTTTGTGCACAAAGTTTACTTACAATCGGTGCTCTTATCACTTTGGACTGGAGTTAAGGCCAAGGATTAAGGTACTCCAGGTACCAGTGTAACTGAAGCATGTAAAAGGTTTCTATTCGCGAAGGGTACTACCTGCACCGTTTCCCTCACAGAAAGTTAACCTTCCTAAAACACTTTTATCTATTAGGGAAATACTACTGACCTTGTGTTGACTTACTGTGTTTTCACAATACCCCGTTGATTGCTGAGGGGTAAAACTGTAGTGTAGGTACTTCATAGACTTGATACTGATGGGACTTTAAGCTGTTTTTCTTTTTGATTCGACGTTTGACCTCGTGTATTAACAGGGTTAAGTAACAAGGTGATATGCGCGGTATGTATCTACCGCGGTAGTCAAAGCTCCGTTGAAACCTCCTAATTTGATGGTTTCCCTGGTATGTCGGGCCCATTGGGTGTCGAAACGAATTTCATGAATCTACAAACGCTAGAATGTGGAAAATATACCCAGTCGTCTCCTTTTCGCAAAATAAGTCGTTTCCACAAACCGCAAGTGTGTCACGATGATCAGAATCGCCAAAACGAGTTGAAATATACTTCAGAACTCATAAAATTCGACCAAAATTAGATTTCTAGCCAGAATTTAACGGTTTCCTTGGTATTTTATTTTCCAAAAGGTGCCGGAAACTCTAGAAAACACAAAAAAAGCTTGAAAAGTAACATTTCTGAAGTTTTTTAACGGATTACAAACGAGAAAATGTGGAAAATATAACCAATCGTCTCTTTTTCGCAAAATAAGTCGACTTTGCATACCGCATCGTCAAAACAAGTTGATCAACGTAGCGGACACCTCTGATCAACGGACAATTTTTAAGATACCGAAAGTGTCTTTAGCAAATGTAACGAAATAAACCTCCCAACAACGGACCCTCTCAACAGCCGACGCGGACGGTAAAATTTGGTGCCATTTTAATAACTTTCATAGAAATTTACCTCTACACAACGGACGAATTTATTTTTTACTAAGATTTTAACTAGTAAACAGTTCAGGTACTGTTAATGGATTAACTAATTTTAAGTAGCGCCCGCGGTACCCTATTATGACATACCAATGGTTTTCTCGTTGTTCCATTTAATCCATTGTAGGGTTTACCGGTTTTACTAAAAATGCATTTTAAAATTGTATATTAAATCCTTTCAAATTTCAGTTCATTATTTGCTTAAATTCTTAAATCTGCTAAATTTTTGGAATTCGATAAGCTTCCTAAGCACCTCTCATTGACGGACACTTTTTGAGTCAACAGCTGTCTGTTGTAGAGAAGTTTTGCTGTAGTAAATTAGTGGGATTGGTCACTAAATAATTGATCGTTAAGTTGAGAGTACAAATTATAATATATAATACATTTTTCATTAACAAAGTGCGTTATTTCAATACAAAAAAGTGGTTGCTTATAGATTTAATCCTCGCCAACGCGTTTTGTGTGTCGTGATTCTTCAAATACCAATACGAAGGTGAAATTTGGGTTGGCGTTTTCCGTTATTTCGGTCTCTTTAATGTTGCTTTGATATAGCTTTAAGGCAAATGCGGCTGAAATAAATGAAATGTGTATAAATAGGAAAATGTTTGAAAAACATGCAGAGGAATGTTGGAATATCCAAATATGCATCTTTTAGGGCGTGTTCGTAAATGTTATTATAACCTATTGTAAAAAAATAGACGATTTGCGTGGATGGATATTTTGTATAGAGATGTCTGGAATATATATATAAATAGTCGCTTTTTATTCTTTCTTTTTGTGAACATTTTTGTCATCGTTAAAGTGCTTTGAACAAGGCTGAGACGTTGCGAGTTCACCGCTGTTTTCTCGTATCCCAGGAACGTCTTTTTTGTACCGCAATAGTTTCTGAATACTTGCATCGAAAGCTTTCGCAGGGACATTCGAGATGCAGATCCTCAAAGTTGTTCTCTTCTATTTGCAAAGCGTTTGAGCTGTTAAACCCGCAAACTCATTTTTTAAGAGCGTGTTTGAAAATAAAATTTCGTCTGGAGGAAAATTTAAATTAATAACCGAGATTACCTAAAATGAAAACAACACATAAACATAAATGCTTAGCAGTTCGCATTAAAGCGATTAGAAGCATTTTCTCCGGCCTTATTTTCTAAGTAATTACGGCGTTCTCTGCCCGACGCTTTATAAAACACTTGAGCTTCACCGAAAAAAAGAATAAATATTACCGTCATAAATCGTAACATTTCATTGTATTATCTTTTAATGGATCTAGATCTAGGCGTAGTTTTATTCCTCAACCTAAAACACTTTTAAATCTGTGGGTTTGAATCGATTTCACGGTCAAGGCTACAAAATACAAACAGCATTCGCCTCGTCTGTCCGGCTACAAGCCCGCAACAACATGTATGTTCTCATTAATAAAATTACGAGAGAATATTAACACGTAATAAATTTATCTGGTGTTGGAACATAATAAAGATTATTAATTTCGCCTGATTAACCTCGAGGTTAATTTTGAAACCGGAGGGTTCTATTTCGTCGAGATCGCACCCGAATTAGATTAAATTAATTAGTAGTTACTAATTGGATTTAGAAAGCGATGCATTTAAGTGCATTTTAAGGGGGTCCTTTTAAAATTAAATTTCCAAGATCGATAATAATTCTAGAAGGATCTCGTAAGCGGTAAATAAGGAAAGTTTATGTATGGGAATTGAATTTGACACTAAAGTGGAGCTCTGTTAGATTCATATCCTCAATTAGCTGTAATCCGTTTAGGGGTGCAAAATTTTTCAGGAAATTTAGATGGAAAATGTCGTCATGTAAATTTAATACAGAGACGTCGTGCGGCGTGATGATAATATAATGTTTCGTTTCAGACGCAATAAATCTTCAACAAGGCGTAACACTAAAAACTTTTCCTCGAGATGAAGAAATGTCTTTGATTTTGCAAAGTTTAGTTTCCTACGTTTCCGGATTATGCAATGTAGGTAATTAGTCGGATTGCCGTCTTAACGAAATTATCAACTGATGGAAGAAGCAAACGGATTAATGGATTAGCTTCAATTCATGTTTGGTATCGGGAGGGCGAATACCGGTTTTATATTGTCGGAAATGAACGGACATCGTTTATAAGGATGCTCGTCAAATACTAGAATTTTGATAAAGCTGAATTATAATAACCGCATCATCTATAACAACAAGGAAACGCGAAACGGGGACTAGAAATAAATTCTCTCGTTTAATTTAGACAATTTACCTTTGCTCCAACTGATCGACCTGTCAGATTTAAAAAGCTAATATTTGTAAATTTCAACGAATCCTTAATTGTGAAACGTGAAAAGGTAATTTGGTGAGGAATGAACTTGGAGTTGTTTGAACAGTCCGATCACGTTGTTTAATGTAATTGAGTACGAGCACTCTACCTGGATATACGTAGGGTGTAAATAAATGATCACACATCTAGTCAATTAGTTGTAAACTTTGAATCAAATTTTAACTTATCGAAGAAGCATTATCGACTTTTTTGCCCGAGATGAGATACAGCACATTACCAACGGGAATAGTGGTATCTGAGCATAATGCGCAATATTTAAAATGTTTATGTTTATGCATCGGAAGAATGTCACGTAGATATGTGCTTGATCTGAATGAGTTAGCAAGTACAGACTCATCATACTTTCCACATTTAAGATTTTTAGAGCAAAATTTTGGGGTGGCGTCATCAATTTTTTAGGGGGATGAGCAAATACATTTTGATCCAAAATTTACTATGCCTGTGATAATTAATGAGATATGGAGGAGCCAGCGCTTAGTGACTCATAACGTAGAAGCATATACAGAGTGTGCAGGCTCATCATATTTTGTACATTTTAGATAGATTTTATTCAAATTTTGGGGTGACGTGATCAATTTTTTAGGGGGAATGAGCAAATATTTTTAAAACATCTGCAAGATTTCAAAGCATTCGGTTTCGCAGCTTCAAAATTAAATTGGAAAATGTTCTTTTATCATTTTGATTTTTTTTCGAAAAATCTGGACGTTTCGGGTAAAAACTCAATTCGGAGTCATAAAGTACATGTGTAGGACTATATTATTTTATACAATTTAAAACCCATTTACGATGTACAATTTTGAAGTGACGTTATCGCATTATTGGTGGGGATGATTAGACAAATTTTGGTTAGCGCTTTACCATCTACATCAGGGCCGGGATGAGGGTGAGGCGAGAGAGGCACTCGCCTCGAATGAACAAATTAGAGGGGCGCCAAATTGTCAAAAATATAAAAATATAAAGTGAAAGGGGTACCGGACGTTTTGACTTCACAACTCACATGGAGGTATAAAAAACAGAATGAAATATCTTTCGATTTTCAGTTTCTTACTGACGAAAAATTAGTGTCATTGGATATAGAAGATTTAAGAAAAGCAGCTTACGACTTAGCTCTTAAATATCCAAATGATATAAATGTTGTAGAAATGTCATTAGAAATATTTATAGCTTTAAGAATCAAGCAATTGCAATAATTCCGGGTATTAGAGCAGCTATAGCTTTGGATCTTTTGAAAATAATTCACGAATACGGTTTAGTTCAATCGTATCCAAATTTGGAAGTGGCGTTAAGAATATTTTTAACTTTACCAGTTACTGTACCTTCTGGAAACAGAAGCTTGAGTAAACTTTAAGATAAGACCTTCTCTTGGTTAGGAAAAATTGTCAAACAGGGCTATTCTTTCCAGTGGACAAGAATGATGTAATCCAATAGATTTTGAAAAAATCATTGATGTTTTTGCTTCATTAAAAGCAAAAAAAATTGCTCTAAAGAGTTTAGACAGTACTTCCCTCGCTGTCGGAAACTTGACGACTGCATGCCTATTGTGTTTTTTTTCTCATTACATTTTTGTAGTGGGAATTTAAAAAAAAATTGCGATGACGTCATCAACATTTTTGCAAGGACACGTATATCAGTTGGGATAGATGTAGTGTAATACTAAGAATAAAATTATTATATTCTCAAATTTTCGGGAAAATGAATTGGGTCGTTTTGAGTATTGATTTGTAATAATCAATAAAATAACGAAACAATTTACTCACGTATACGTATCAGAGGCAACTGAAAATCGTGTATGTATAAACATTCTTAATTTAAGATGACAGGCGTAACAGCATACGTGAGAGTCAAACAGAGAAACTGTAAACAAAACGACCATCGGTTTTATTGCTTCGACTTCCGCTTATTATATAAAACATTGGGTTTTATTTTAATTCTTGACGGTGAAATTCACAATTGGTTGATTA